CAAACAAAGTGATGACATCTGATCCCAAATCACAGTATTTGTCCACAAATGCCGAATCAATTGTGATGTTTGGATCACACAATGGATTCTGGGATTAAATATTGAATTTTAATATAATTTTATATAAAATTCTATTCAAAATCACTTACCTTTGCAGTCAATACAATTAACACTTGTATTGAAACCACAATTAATTGCAAAATTAAATGCATTTGTGATTAGATTTTGTGTACAAATATTTTCAATTATGGCCACCGATTAAATATTGTATTAAAATATAATACAATTAAATTCAACTCAAATGTGGTCTTTGAGTGAAACAGTTTGGGTGACAATATTTGCATTTACGTTGTCTTCAATTTTGTGGCAAATGACACGATTGTATTGTCTGAGTATTTGTTGTGATGTCTTTGTGTCCACTTGTTTTGTCACAAATAAATGAAAAACAACTTAAATGATTATTTTGTTAGCAATACTAATGTTACATTTAATGGCAACACATTTACACATAATGTATACTTTATATACAGTATGAGTAAAACAATATAATTATAAGTCATTTCACATAAACGATTTAGTAATTAATTGCTTATTTAATTTATTTCAAAACAAATTGCACATGATTATTATTTAGGAATTTACAAAATTTAATATAAACTAGATATTTTTAAACGATTGTGTTATTATTAAGTTTAACGTTAATATTACCAATTATTTATACTAAAAATTCAATTGGATTTAATTGTTTTTATTTTAATTAACATTTAATCCAATGTTAAATCTTATGATTCGTTGATAAAGACATCGATGTCTTCGAGTGATTAATCTTTAATGTATTTTCTGTAGATTTAATCTCCGATTTGTTAATCTTTTGACTCATTGATTGATTCTGTGCTAAAGAATTGATTATTTAATTAAATATTTTATTGTCTTCTTTGTCTCTCGAAGAATATTTTGTCCACAATTTGTATGAAATCAATGCAATTATTAATACAATTGTAATAACGATTACAATTATGACTATAATCATGTATTTATTGGTGCCATCAGTTGGAGTGATGTCTTCATCGCATCCAATCCATTGAGCGATTGTTTGATTCAAACAGTTGTCGTCAAACTGCAGAGTAATCTTATTCACACAGTAAACAAAATTCCCGTCAAATAAATATATATAATTAATGAAAGCAAAGCCGGCCAGTCTTTGAAACATATAATAAATTGTTGTGTGCGGGGGTAACATATTTATTAACCCATATATCCCTTCAACAGTGTAATCGCACTTTTGCCAGAAATCATGTGTGTCAGATGGTTTAAATACCGACTTATTATGTGCCCATATATACCATATTTTTCCAATTTTGCCCTAGAAATAATCTTTGTAATTAATAAATATTCACATTATTTATATAGTCATTACATTATATAATGTAATATGAGTAAAGCTATTGCAATAAAGTACAAGAGTTATCGGGCCATTAATATAATTAATGTTTGACCACTCGCTTAACGTTTGGGATCTGTTGTATACGAAGACAGGATTTATGGGATCCGTTGTTTCGGCAGTCAATTGATAGACAGTGTTGTTTGCAAACAAAGTGATGACATCTGATCCCAAATCAGAGTCTTTGTCCACAAATGCCGAATCAATTGTGATGTTTGTGTTATTACACAACGGATTCTGTGATTAATTAATTAATTAACCTATTAAATTAATTTTAAATGTATTATAACTTACCGTTGCATTCAATACAACTAATAGTTGTATTAAAACCACAATTAATTTCAAAATTAAATACATTTTTTAGAATTTGTATTTAAATGAATGTCAAAATGATTTTAACAGAAAAATCTGTTATAAAATTAAATGAAATAACATTAAGTTTAATCATAATTTATAAACAATATTTAAATTAAATTAGTTGAATAGCAATGATAGCAATGTTTGGACACGTGTTCATCAATTTTCCAGTAAATCATACCATTATATTAATTATCTGTCTCTGGAAGTGATGTCTTCGTTGCCAATATTTTGCAAGCATTTGTTACAACAATTTGCCGTCGGATCCGTTGATACGTGATTTAAGATCTTTTTGTGTCTAATGTTTTACAAAAATAATTTATTTAAAATTATTTTATTTGAAATATTAATAATAATTAAATGGCAATTAATTTACACATAATTTTTTGCATTTATTATGAGTATAACTTTACAAATAAGATTCATTATTAGAAATATATTACTTATTTAATTTATTTTCACAACAAATATTATGTTTAATTATTTTAGAAATTTACAAATTTTAAGCAAATCTAGATGAATTTTAAACAATATTATTTATCAGTAATTAATTTTAAATTAACATTAATTATAATAATAAACTCAAATTATCTCATTTCAATCATAATGTAATCCAATTTCCAAATATTCTTATTCTTTAATCCATTAATTTTATTTCATCGATAAAGACATCGATGTCTTCGTGTAATTAGTCTTTAATGTCTAATGCGATGAATTGACCGCCCATTTGATTGTTAACACATATTTCATTGTCTTCTTTGTCTTTCGAAGAATATTTCGTCCACAATATGTAGGAAATGAATAGCAATTATCATTACAATAACGATCACAAATAAGGGTATAATCACAATGAATTTATTGCTGCCTTTATTGGGATTTAATGTCATGTTTTTGCAACCAATCCATTGAGGAATAGATTGAGTGAAACAATTGTCGTCAAACTTAAGAGTCCGGTAATTCAGACGACAGACAAGATTTGCGGCAAACAAATAGAAATAGTCATTGAATGCAA